AGCGGTTCAAAGCCTCGATCGGTAAAAAGAAGTATAAAAATGATGATTACGAAAAGCCTGAGCTTTTTTTATTATTATTTTCTACCATTCTAAAGGGATGAAATTAGACAGAAAAGACAGCAGAAGATCAATAATAAGTTTTAAAGGAAGTTTTCAAGAGAGATTGTGAGAGAGCCTGCAGTTCATCTGCATATTCAGAATCTTAATGAGATAATTAAACTTAGTTTTTGTTTGATTTATTTCAGAATATTTGGGGGACTTTTGCGTATGATATATTTTTTTTCGTGTGATTTTTTTATTCTCCTTCGTTGTGGAAGTGTACAGATAATTGTTTGTCATTTTGATGTGATTCTTGTCTGAAATTCTTAAATGGTATTGGATTAACTTAGGAACTAATTGAATTTTAACTTGGCCAGTTAATTTGTTAATACTAATCTTGATCATAGAATTTTGGAAGAAATCTTTGAGGAACAATAGATAACCACACGAAGGTATTGGAATAGGAATATCCTCTTTGAATTCATACAAACTGATTAGGGATGGATGTTGTTTAGGAATTTTCATTTGGTTTAGGGAACTAAGTAAATAAATCGCCAATCTTTCTTAGTCTACCAGAAGGAGATAAGAAAGGTTTTCCTCCCGTTTGACAGCTACTTTAGAATCATTTGCAGACTTGAATCCCTACATAACCACTTCAAATTGGATTTTTTAGGAAAATTCTTGAATCAACATCTCTCTCTTTACATTTATTGAAAACTTAGGTTTAGTTCACTTTTAAAATTAGGATAGTAACTTTAATTAAACTTTAAATCTTCAACATTTAAGGCTTGGACTGACAACTGTAGGCTAGAATCTTTCCTATTAGAGTTCATCTTGTCCCGTATGAGATTAATAAATAGAATTCAATTTCATATACTACTGATACGTTAAGTATTCTTGTGTGAGTCACCCATGCATTGCACCACTTGTTGCGTGTCATAGCTCTTTCTCGCTTATGGGATAAGAGCACGTACGTGGATTCATCAACTTTTAGTAGATCGTTCTAATTGGACTGAGCCCCGTGATTTTCTTTTCCTTTCCAGGGTATTCAAGTAAAAACTTATGGTATCTTTATCTATTATTTCTATTAACCAAGTGTGTGCTAGATTTTCGTAGAATATTGTGAAGATAATTTATTACTCTACTGCTGTGGATTTCCTAACACAACATTTGTATTTCATTAATAAATATTCTTTCTTAAAAATAAAAATTACTCAAGCACCATTAACATCCGTTAACACCCCTATCAAAATATGATTTAATGAGTCTCTACGAGAAAACTGATATATTTGTTGAATCCACAAATGTCCTATGGATCTCACCTAAGGAATGAAGTGTTAGATGGATGAGAGGAATAGAGGGGAAAAGAAAAATAGAGTACACAATAACACAGGTTTTCCATGAATGGATTCAACAGTCCCCTCTTAACCCTCATATTTATAGATCATAGGGATTATATAATAAGTTACATATTTGTCCTTAGTTTAATAAAAACAACAAGTGATCAATATATCATAAAACATTTACATATTTATAACTGACTCTAGGATCTTTTAATATTCATAACCGTCATTGACATCGTTTTGCATTCTTAATTGTTTAAAGCGGGGCATTAATGATCCACTGATGTTGACATTCGATCGTCTGATAAGTGTTTGGTCGGTCGAAAGTCCTTTAGTTGGCTAAGAGTTCTTCAGTCGGCTGGAAGTTCTCAAGGCGACCTTCTTGAAAGAACCCTCCATAGAGACCTTCTTATCATTAAGATGAACTTGGACAATTGGTTCTCTCTGTGAGGAATCCCAGAATGACTTGAGGGAGTTCATCACACATGACTTTCCTTCAGAGTAGGTGCACATTGTATTTTAATTCAGATATACATTCCTTCGGTCGGTCCATGACTTTGACCGAATGAGACAAGCTTGATGCAAGCCTCCGTCTTTCGACTGTCTTGATGTCGTCCTTTATCATCTTCTTAGTACGATTCGTTGAATTTCCTCAAGATTCATGCAGTCATATTTTTGATATACAATATTCAATCCCTCACAAGAGCTTTAGGAGAATGGATGGACATGTGGGTGTTATAGGTCCATCTATAAATAATAATAATTTTATGGTTAACCTAATTATCTCAAACTAACCAAGAAATCAATTCAATTATCCCTAAAAAAATAAATTAGTCACATGCATAAAAAATATATAAAAAAAAAGCATTAAGGATGAAAAATTACCAAATGGCAAATTTAAATTGTAGAACTTGAAAACATACATAAATATAGTGTGCAAAATGGCTAAGATTTTTAATAAATTTTGTGACTTCAGTGCGAACAAATGGTTGATAATATCGAGGTGTTTTACATTTGTCAATTTGCTCCTTCTTATATTTTTATTTGCTTCCAAGACCAATTCAAATGATGCCTTCTTACTCTTTGTTATGTCTTTTAACTATTGGACAGAGTCTGACCGTTCATTTCGTCCAGACAATGGGTCAGATACATTAATTTCAAACTTTTAAATTTTTTTTTTTTTTTTTAATCCTTATTTCAAAAGAATCATTCAATGTTATTTGAGCATAATAAATATATTAATAGACACATTAGGTGTATCATTATGGATGTCGTTCATGGCTCTTTATTTGTTAGGGGCATTTACATACATGACGCCCAATTTTTATGTATTTACAAGTTTAAAATCTAATTTTTACTTCCTACATTTATGCCACTAAAATAATTTGTCACATAAAAGTATTACTATTTTAACTTAAAAAAGTGAAATAAACCTTATTTTCGTTCGTTTTTCTCTTTTTATTTTAGAAGGAGTTGTCGGTCTGTCGATTATTGTATACTTCTCCCATTCGAATAAATCTCCCTCCCGAATCAGATTAGTGATTCGAAGAGAAGAGCAACCGAATAAGAAGGGACATATGACAAAACGACAAACAAGAGAAAACACAAAACGTTGAGAGCCTACGTGCGGTAAACCTCGTAAGGATAGGTTGAGAGTGTTCGCTCAAACAAGATCGGGTGAAAGCACCTTAAACCGATATTCGCGAAAGAATACCTACATTGACTACTCATAACCAGAGAGTCAGGTGTAGGTGCAAGAGCAGTCTTAAGTGGACGTATCTCACTTCGTTAATTACATCTTAAGAGGTACCCAAGAATACTCCAATAAAAGGAGTCTCGCTTGGATTATCATGGACCTGGGGTATAGGCAATCAAAGGAAGGTTATTCCGTGCGGGAACAACCCCGATGCTTCAAAGCTCGCGCTAAGTCATCGGGCAGAGAGTGAGTTTCTCACATCCCAAATGGGTAGCGGC